GGGCAGAGAAGGGCGGAGCCTCGCACTGACAGGCCCCGCCCCGCAGTCTACCACGTGATCTTTATCTACTGCGCCGTCAAAGGCCACCGGGGCTTCCAGTTCTTCTACCTGCCCTACTTCGAGAAGTGAGCCGCTGGCGGCACGGTCGATGCCTGCGTTTCGAGGCCGGGAGGCCGAGCCGTCACCTCGCGCGGGGAGGCTACTCCGAACTGTGCGCCTCTTCTCAAGGGAAGAGGTCCTCTGGGACCCTCGCAACCCCATACCCCCAGGAGTTTGCTCAGGAAGTGTGGGGCGCCACCCCTTGCCTGCTTTGTGCCTTAACTTATTCTCAGGCCCTGGAGTGTTGAGTCGATGTTATTTTGTGCTAATAAAAGGATCATTAATTCCAGCAGGGATAGTTGCTCTTCCCGGCCCAGCCCGCCAGCCTGACCATGGCCTCTTACACCAAGGCTGAGAAAAGGCCTGATGCTAGACTAAAGGGCTTCTAGAGTCACCGACCTCCAGATGATGTGCAGGACAATCCTGATGCTCTGAGACTTGCCTGAGGTCACAATATGTTGGGGGCAAAGCTGGGCTTGGAAGTGGCAGTTCCAGTGTTCCTTGGTCCCAGCCCTGAGCAGACTCAGCCCACCCCTGTCTGCCCAGAGAGGCAGCACCAGCACCTGTATGGGAGGCTGCTAGCCTCGTTCCAGGGCTCTGGGCCCTGGGCCGCCACAGCCAGCCCTGAATGTGGGCCATGAGGCAGCAGTGGCCCAGCCCCCTGGGTCCATTGCCCTACTTCCCAGCCCCAGGAGTTGGGAGAACCAGGGAACAGGGCATGGGAAGCAGGGCCTCATGACAGAGAGCCTCGGGATCAAAGACCTCAGAATGCTAAAAACAGACTATCCCAGAATTTTGGAAAATCAAAGCATCTCAGAACCTTAGGAACCAAGAACACAATCTTAACCCTAAAATCTAAGCTCATAGCCACCATTCATCGTGTTCTTACAAGGCTAATTGACAGTTAGAAACAGAAGCCAGGGTTCCAGTGCCCTGGGCCCAGGAACCTTTCTGTGACACTTGGGGAGAGGCCAGAGAGGGAAACCAGGCCCGTGTCCCCTACCTCCCAACCTAAGGATAAGCTAAAGGAGTGTATTGTCCCCAACTAAACATGAGTGTGCTTAGTGAGGGGCTGCCCACCTGCCCGAGTCTGCAACACCAGGACAGCACACACCTTTAGAGTCCTGCACCTTTGTTGAATGAATAAACTCCCAGATCCCCACCATTACTCCTGCTGTCCTGGCCCCCCCAGGCCCCCCCACCCTCAATCCCCTTTGAATGAAGGAATTCTTTAAACAATGTTCCCAAACTAGCTGTGGGCAAGGACCAGTTTACATTTCTAATCCATCATGGACCAATAGTTTTGTAAGATTAAAAACTAGAAAAAAATCAAGACATACAGATTGCTCACATAAAATTGCAATTTGAAAAGTATCTTAGAACAAATATAGGAAAGAAGAAAAATTACAAAAACTTCAGTGAGCAGGTAGGCAACACAGTCACAATCTTGTGGTGCTGGGGATGGAACCCAGGGCCTTGTGCATGCCAGCCAAGCCCTCTACCTCCAAGCCACACCCCCAGCCTAGGACGTAAATTTTTCTGGTTAATTTATCCAACCCAAATTGCATGAACAGCAATACTTCTTTTTAAATGTTTTTATTTGTAGATGAACACAATACCTTTATTTTATTTATTAATTTTATGTGGTGCTGAGGATCTAGCGCAGTGCCTCACACATGCAAGGCAAGACTCTGCCACTGAGCCCCAGCCCAGCCCGTGAATAGCGATACTTCTAAACTCTAAATATATACTGCATATAATTTCTTTTGAAGACATTAATAGGAACATATAGATTTCTTTAGTGAATCATGCCTCCATTTATCCCTTATGCTTCTGCCCCATAGCTCATTTCTATCTGATTTTCCCATAGTCACACTAGCTCTCTTTTGGTTAATTTTCTCCTGGTAAATCTTTTATCTGAGCCATCAGTTTCAGCCTTCCACTTGTCATTATTCTTTGAGTGTGTCTTCTGTATCCTTGACTCACCAATGGGGAAGAATCTGAGATCTGCCCTTCTGTATCTGCTCTCTGCCCTTGTAGAAGAACCCCTGATTTTTTAGTTGGGCACATGACCTTACAAGTAAAGACTACATTTCCCAATACCCTTTGCAGCTAGGTGTGTCATGTGATAAGCTCTGTCTATTGGGATGTAAAGGGGGGAGGCACAGGTGCTGAGGATTGAACCACGGGGCACTTAACCACTGAGTTACATCTCTGGCCTTTTTAATTTAATTTAATTTTTTATTTTGAGGCAGGGTCTTGCTAAATTGCTGAAGCTGGTCTTGAACTTGCAATCTTTTTGCCTCAGCTTCCCAAATGGCTGGGACTACAGTGTGCACCATTGTGGCCAGCCAGATTGTTCATACTCTTTTCCTCTTTCTTCTTTTTTCCTGACTCCATCCTGCCACCAGGAAAACAAATAAATGTGGGCACTCCCTAGGGATGGCAGAGCAGTCAGCCAGAAGGAGCCTGGGTCTTTGAAGAATATATACAGTTGGGCTCCACCTACAGACTTTTCTTGGGCAAGCAAATTTCTACCCAGGTTAAAACACTGTTGTTTTTAGTGAGTTATAAGAAAAATAACCTAATGTTTTTAAATTTTTTGTTTTTCTGTTTTTGTGTGTGGTGCTGGGGACCAAACCCAGGGCCTCACACATGTCAGGCAAGTACTCTACCACAAGCCAGACCCCCACACCATTAGCACTTTCTTTGGGGACTGGGACTCTCTGACTTTAAACTAACAAATTTAATGTATTTATATTTATTGTAATAATTGATTTTTAAAGAATTATTTCTACTTTCTGTCTTAATATTTTCTATGTATTTTATTTTTCTTTGCCTTTTTCACCCTCTATCCCAACTTTCTATTGGTTTAATCAAGATTCCTCATCTACCCCGTTCCTCCTCTGTTGATTTGAGTATTGAGTGGAACAGTCTATTCCTGTTGTATTAATGGCTTCCCTTAAGTGGTCAACAGAGTCTGATGCTAACCAACAAACCTAGCCTTCTCTAGGACAGCATCAAAGATTTCCACATGCCCCATCATCCCTGCCCCTGTCTGGAGGATCACTTGTTTCCCCACAAGGCCCTAAACATCTGCACCCTTGCCACTTTCCCAGACTGGTCGGTGGAGATAGGAACAAGGCAGCCCTTTGAGACCCTGGAATGTATCCGTGAGGTTCATTTCTTGCCCCTGCCTGCAGACTTGTGTAGGTCTCTGTCACTCGTGGGTGTCCTCTAGCCAGGTGCCAAACTTTGGTCTCTTTTCTTTGGAAACTGGGGTCATCCCCTTCTTTCAAGTCCATTTTTTTAAAAAGACTTTTTATATATGTTAGGAATGAGCGGGATCCAGCCACCCTCTCGATTCACTGTTACTGGGGATCCGCTAACACTTCCCCCTGCTGGGACACTGCCTGTGCCGAGGTTTGGGAGAGATCCAAACTTCACCCACAGTGGAGATGACGGGCAGTTGAGGGCAGGTTTTCGTCCAGGCAGCTCCAGCAGGGGTAGGTGAGCATAAAGGTGGCTGAGACATCCAAGCAGACTCCCTGGTGGTGTGTGGTCCTGGGAGGCCTCTGGGTCTCTTCCATCCTGGAGCCTCTTCGTGGGGGGGAGGGTGTGCAGCCCGGGCCCTGCTGGTGTCTGGGGCCCCAGGTCTCAGTGGGTGGACAACATCATCACAAACTCTGCAGGAGAGAGGAGTGGGGCTTGGGCCTGTCCAGAAAGTGGGATCCTCCTGGGTGCTGGAGGGACAGGAGTGACTGGGAGGCGACTCACCATCAAAGTCTATGGTGCCGTCCCCATTGAGGTCCATGTCTCGGAGCATCTCATCCAGCTCAGAACCCTCCAGTGACTCCCCGAGAAGAGGCGGTGCTGCCTGCCGCAGCTCTGTGACTGTAATTCTCCCATCCTTGTCCCTGTCAAACTAGGGTCCAGGCACAGTTCAGCTCTACCCACCCTAAGCTTCCCCTCTACTAGCTCCACTCTTGCCACTCACTGCCTATGGGCAAGATGCCACCTCCACCACCACCTCACCCACCAAACCTTCCCATCCTCCCCTGCCAAGATGGGGCCTCCTGATTCTGGAAGGCTCTAGAGTTCATGCCTCCAGCTGCACATGAGCCTAGCCTTCTCTGCACATCCCTGGGCCTCATCTTGAAGACTGAGGCCACCAGTCTCCCAGAAGTGACATTGTCCAGCCCTGCCCCCTGGGCCCACCCAACCTCCACACCTCTTGGAAGGCGATGCGCAGCTCCCGAACCCCCAGCATGTGTGCCGTCTCCTCTCTCAGCTTTGGGCCTATCAGCTCCACAAACTCCTCAAAGTCCACACAGCCACCCACTGTGGACCCAGACACAGTGTCACAATCTGGCCCCAAATGGGACATCAAAAGGGAGGGTGCAACCCCCCCCCCAAGGCTCTGCATTCAGGAGGACATATCCCATGCCGGCACTGTGGGGTGGGAAGCTGGAACTCAGTCCCCTGGGCTGCTGGGGACTGGGGCTGCCGGGGACTGGGGCTGCCTCTGCTTTCTGTGAAGAACCCGGGTATGGGAGAAAGAAACCAGGGTTTGCAGCGGAGCCGCCAGGTTCAGACTCTGACTCTGCTGCTGAGATGCATGGCCTTGGGCAGCTTAGACCCTCCCTCCCCCAGCAGTCCCTGGGTTCTAAGATGCTGCCAATCGCATAAGGCACCGGTGGCCAAATAACAGCTCTGGGGGAGAGGAGGAAGCACAGCCCTGCGCGCACACACCAGTCACAAATCACATGCCTGTTTTGGAAACTGCAAGAAAATAACCCACAGAGATCCCGGAATGAAGGGACTTGGTATCGCCCCAGGACAAAGCAGCAATGATAACCTCACAGCGCTTAGTCACAAGGCAGCCAGGGCACTGTCACACCAGGCCTCACTGAGCCTCCTGAGACTGTATTCCAGGTGACCTCAATTCAGGCAGCTGCCCCAAGGAATGGGGAGGATGGGAGGGTGGGAGACAGGGAGCCCTGTTAGTCCCTGCAGACAGCCTGCGTCACCCAGTAGGAGGAGCCAGGCCAGGAGGCAGCGCAGGCCCAGGGGGAAGGAACAAGGGTGTGCAGAGGCCACAGCCCCCTAGCTGGAGGCCAGGTTCCTCAGCCTGAGCCCCAGACGCCGCTCTTGGATCACCCACCTCCCACCCTTGCCCCGCTCCCCTCACCAGGAGGCTGCAGCGTGGACCTGGTGTCCCCACACCTGATGGGACCAATGTCCTGTTGCCACCCTGGAGGCTCTCCTTCGCACCCACCATGGCCCCTGACGGGCTCTTGGAGTTCCCCCCCTGCCTCCCCCTGTGATCCTCCTGGAGACCAGGGCTGCCCTGAGCTGGGCACCGCCAGGCAGGCTCCCACCCAGCCGCCCTGCAGGGCCCGTCACTGACTGCGCATCTTCACGTGCTGCGAGACCTCGATGAGCTCCATCTCCGTGGGCATGTAGCCCAGGGTCCGCATGCAGTCACCCAGCTCCCGGTAGCCGATGTAGCCGTCCCGGTCAGTGTCAAACTCCTCGAAGGCGGCCTGCAGCTCTGTCAGGGAGAGAGGTTGTGCAGGTGGGCAGGCCCAGGGACACCTCTCCCCACCCCCACAGTCAGGAGAGGCACTTACCCTCCCGCTCCTCTGGGCCCAGCTCACGGTCCTGTGGGCAATAGTCCAGCATGTCCCTAGAGCCAGCCACGGCTCTGTCTGTCCTTCCTCCTCCAGCCCCTGCCTGTGCTCCTGCTCCTGGGAAGGGCCACCCACCACCACCACCACCCAGGGGCAAAGGCAGCTGAATCCAGAGGGTCCCAGGAGCAAAGAGCCCTTACTCTGTGCCCCTGGCACCTCGAGTGGGTTCCACAGAGCCCCAGCTCTGAAGCCTGGCTCTGCCCACTGCACCAGCGCCTGAGACCCCAAGTCTGCAGCAGAAGAAGCGGGGGGGCCCAGGTACTTAGGGGCTAGGAGGGCTGTCCCCAAAGGATAGGAATCTCCACCCACATCCTTGAGACCCTCAGCCCTGCCCAAGCCCCTGACCTTCCCAAAGATGCGGTTGAGCAGGGGCCCGTATGTCCTCTGAGCAGCATCCTGCTGGGGGTCAGCACGATGTCGATGGGACTGGCGGCGTGATGTGAGGGGTGGCCCCCCCTGCCCCTCTCCAGTCTTTGAAGGATCCTTGCTGTTCCCTGGGGCCTCAGGGCCCTGGACAGAAGTCTGCTCACCAGAGCTGCCCTTATGGGACCCTCGGAGTCCCCTCTCCTTCTTGCTCTTCCTCCTAGTCAAGGGGGCCCCCTCAGCACCACTGCCAGGGGCCACAACCCCCTCAGGGGACTTCTGGGGGTTCTGCTCTGTGGCCATGTAGGAAGGGACGGCAGGGCTCAGGAGCACAGCGTCCCTGAGCACCCTTGGCTCTTGGGACCCATAAAGCTGCTTACGCGCCCCCAGCCTTAGAGTTGATCGCCTGGGATGGGCCCTGAGGGGGATTAGGGTGAGCAGGCAGGCGGCCCAGGACCTCATCCCTGCCCCCTGCCCTGGGGTGGCCAGGGTAATGCCAGGTTGGTCACCAGAAATGTCCTCAGCAGAGAGGGGCAGGACATGTGGCTGCCCCTAGTTTCCAACTCCAGTTCTGCCACGTTGCGGCTGGAAACCGGGTTGTTGAGCACACCTAGTCCCAGTTCTTCATCTGGAGATGGCGACTTGAGCAAGGGGGAGGTGGGAAAGGAGGTGATACGTTGCCCCCAAGGGCCCCTATGAGGTGACATCCTGGCTGAAACAGAGGGCAAGTGTCACCGAAAAGAGGGGCCAGGTTAGAGGGGCCAAGGTGCAGTGTCAGTGGAGCTGGATCCGCAGGGGCTGACAGCCTGCGGGAGGGGCCCAGGCATGGTGCTGTTGTCTGGCCCCATCAGGATGGGGGCCCTGGCTGGTCATTTGGCTACTGGGCCAGGGTTAGGGTTTCCCGGAGAGCGGTCCCATGAATGATTGATCTCCTCTCAGCTTGGGTTTCCTGCCTGCCCGCCTTCATGTCACAGAGTGCCACGCAGCGGGCCCTGGCGTGGGGTGGTGGGTGGCTGGGCCTCTGGGCAGCAGGCACGCCCTGCTCCTTCCGGCCAGCTGCTGCCTGCATCTCACAGGTAAGCCAGGCACCATGGCCAGGGCCCTGGGGGAGGGTGCCCAGGATTCTGATCCAATAGGGGTCTGCAGAGGAAGAGCACCAAAGTGTGGGGAAGCCATGGGCTAAAGTGGTTGCAGCCGTGGGCCTCAGGCGGAATCCAGCCCAGCTGGCATCTGGACTGTCCCCTAGCTACCACTTCTCCCGTCCACTGGCTGGAGAAGGTGCGGTGGGGACCACAGGCCTTTTGAGTTCCCAACCTGGGTGCCCCAACTGCATCTCCCCCTCCTTACCCTGCAAAGCCCCCTCTTCGAGAGCTACCTGTGCCTAAGCACTCGAAAGCAGGAAAGGGCAAGGGGAGGGGGGGGGCAGAGAATGCTGAAGAGCCGCACACTGCTCCTGGGATAGGTCCCCTAGCTGCCTGTGCTGAGGCTCAGACCTCGCCCCAAATTCCTGAGCAGCATGCACGCAGGGAGGGGCTGCCTGCCCAGCCTTAGACTCCTATGGGCCCATGACACCCAGAGCCCTCCCCCTCTTGGAATTTTAAACACTTGAACCCCAGAAAAATCAAGCATAAAGGGATCTTGTAAAGAGCCGATCAACTGGTTTTCAAACTCTGTCCCCTGAAACCCTGCGGGGGGGTGCTCTTCAGTGTCCTTTTAGCTCATATAGGAGTTCACTGTTTTATTGAGACAAGATTCAGTGGATTTGGGCCTGGAGCAGGGGCACACACCTGTGATCCCAGCAGCTTGAGAGGCTGAGGCGGGAGCTTTGAAGCCAGTCTCAGCAACTTAGCAAGGCTGTAAGCAACTAGTGAGATCCTGTCTCTTAATGAAAAATAAAAAGGGCAGGGGATGTGGCTCAGTGGCCCCTGGGTTCAATTCCTGGCACCAAAAAAAAATAAAAAAGATTCAGTGTTTGAAAGCCTTTGTTGGTCTGCTTGGACTCATGGATTCCATGGTCAGATGCTTAAGTTCTGGTAGTTTCCTTCCTGTCCATGACCTTGGACAATTCACTAACTCAATGAACCTTCTTTCATCTATAAAATGGGTCCTCAGAGGACTACATGGAGATGACTACTCAAGGACAAGATCAGGGAGGGACAGTGATTGGCAGGGAGATGCACATGCCCTGTGTCTCATACTCAGTCATCTGTGCCTTCATTCATCCAGCAGGTGCCCAGTCCATGTCCAGCAGGACACTGGGGACACTGTTATGGAAGCCAACCTGGACGTTGCTGGCCGTGGGCCCCGCACAGAACTGGACGATGAGGACTACTACCCACAGGGTGGCTGGGACACAGTCTTCCTAGTGGCCTTGCTGCTCCTGGGGCTGCCAGCCAATGGGCTGATGGCGTGGCTGGCCGGCTCCCAGGCCCGGCATGGGGCGGGCACGAGGCTGGCCCTGCTCCTGCTCAGCCTGGCCCTCTCCGACTTCTTATTCCTGGCGGCAGCAGCCTTTCAGATTCTGGAGATCCAGCATGGAGGGCACTGGCCACTGGGGACAGCTGCCTGCCGCTTCTACTACTTCCTGTGGGGTGTGTCCTACTCCTCCGGCCTCTTTCTGCTGGCAGCCCTCAGCCTGGACCGCTGCCTGCTGGCACTGTGCCCGCGTTGGTACCCTGGGCGCCGCCCAGCCCGTCTGCCCCTGTGGGTCTGTGCTGGGGTCTGGGTACTGGCCACACTCTTCAGTGTGCCCTGGCTGGTCTTCCCCGAGGCCACCGTCTGGTGGTACGACCTGGTCATTTGCCTGGACTTCTGGGACAGTGAGGAGCTGCCCCTGCGGATGCTCGAGATCCTGGGGGGCTTCCTGCCGTTCCTCCTGCTGCTGGTGTGCCATGCGCTCACCCAGGCCACCGCCTGCAGGACCCGCTGCCGCCACCAGCCCCGGCCCCCCGCCTGCCATGGCTTTGCCCGCGTGGCCAAGACCATTCTGTCAGCTTATGTGGTCCTGCAGCTGCCCTATCAGCTGGCACAGCTGCTGTACCTGGCCTTCCTGTGGGACCTCTACCCCGGGTACCTGCTCTGGGAGGCCCTGGTCTACTCGGACTACCTGATCCTGCTCAACAGCTGTCTGAGCCCCTTCCTCTGCCTCATGGCCAGTGCCGACCTCCGGGCCCTGCTGCGCGCCGTGCTCTCCTCCTTTGCAGCCGCTCTCTGCGAGGAGCAGCCAGGCAGCTTCACGCCCGCTGAGCCCCAGCCCCAGGTGGGCTCTGAGGGCCCGACTCTGCCAGGGCCCATGGCTGCGGCCCAGCCACGACTGGATGCCGTGGCCCTGCCTCAGGTGAGCCCCACGACGCAGACACAGTCGGATACTGTGGCCCAGGAACAGCCAGTGGTTGAGGCTCACACCCGCGCCTCTGCTTCGGGCTTGGCCGCCACCCCCTGTGATGAAGCCTCCCCTGGCCCATCCCCAGGGCCCACCTCGGGAGCCTCTGGGAACCCAGCCACACAGCCTGACCCTGAGGGAGAGAGCCCTGGCAGTGCCCCGCCAGAGGAAGCCTCCAGCCCAGGCCCCACGTGAGGGCCTAGGGAAGTCCAGCCCTCCAGGGCAGGGGAAGAGCCAGAGGGAGCCAGAGAACCAGCCATGGTGGACGCCATGAAGGACTCGCCACTAAAACTCCCACGGAGCCCCTCGGGCCTAGGAGGGAAGTGAAACAAAGCATGTGAAAGTCCCAGAGAGTTCACTGTGAGTCCCCGACCCTGGGCACACCAAGCCCTTCCATGGCTGTTCCAACACACAGTCACCCAAGCCCCCTAGGCCACAGCTAATGGTGTCCGAATTGTTCTGTCCTCCAATACCCCTAGACGCCTGTTTCCTCTGTGCCTTGTTCCTGCTGGAGGAAGATAACAGGGGGACTTCCCTGGGTCCAATCAGATCTCCCTTTCATCCTTCACTCCCTGTCCTCCTCTGGCCTGTCCTCCAGCCTAGACACAAGAACACCAAATGGAAAAGTTCCTGCAGGAAAAGGAGGCCTCCATGAACCTGTGGCTCCAAGCAGGGCCCAAGGCCCTAGTGGCCCACAAGCCAAGTCCTCTCCACCAATCTCCTGCCTGCCTCCAACAGACAGCGAGGCTGGTGCAGGATTTCCCCTCCCAGGGCAGGCAGAAAAGAGGCAAGAGCTACCAAGCCTGGATTCAAATCCAGTTCTGCCACAGCCTGACTGGGTGATGGGGGACAAGTTACCTCTCTTTCTTAGCTCCTTTTCATCAGCTCTTGTGAGAATTAAATGAGAAAGTATGCAAGGCACTCACAGCAGCCTGGCACTCGGCAAGGGCTCAGTGAGCCGGTGTCCTCTTCCTTCCTGCACACAGGACCGGGGCTGAAGGGGAGGAGGCAGGCAGGAGAGTGACCTAGGATTCTGTGAACAGCCTAGGCTGGGGACACCCAAGTGGCCCGAGAGAGCACATAGCCACCTCTGCTCTTGGGCCTGCTCCAGGGGACTTCAAGGTCGGATTCTGTTCAAGGGTCCAACTAGCATCCACCTGTGCCCCAACCCCCAGGGAGGACTGCTCAACTCTCCTCTCTGTGGGGGCTGCAGGTACAGCTCACTTTGGCCCCCAATTCCCCCCATCCGAGCCCAAGAGCAGAGGCAGGAGGCTGTCCAAAGGGCACAGAGCTCAGGGCACCAGGAGTCCCAGGAATGGCAAAGGTGAGCCCTCGGGCCAGCCAGCTCCTCCCCTTCCACTGCAGACCCCACAGGGAAAGCAAAAGTGCCATAGGTCTCCCTGCGCTTCCCTTCATCCCCCACCCTCTCCCACCCACCTGTTCCCCCCCCCCAGGGTTCCGAGTCCCCTCCCCTTCCCTTCTTCCCCACGCTGTCCCTTTAGCAAGGCTTGTTGATGTGCTGCCCTGGGAGTGGCGGCTCCGCTCTGGGTTCGGGTTCCTAGCTCGCTCTTACCTTAGTTAGGGTGGACGAGCCCCTGCAGGGCTGCTGGTTGTGGCCATGGATGACCCCCTGGCACAGGAAGGCCATAAATGGGTGGCCATGGTGGCGACCCCAGAGTATGATCACCGCATTCCTCAGTGACGGATTCCTGGTGCATGCAGGGCTGGGGGATCTCCGAACAGGCGTGGATTTGTCGATTTCATTCTTCTGACAAATCTCTATTCTGCACTTTCCAGCTGCTTTTCTGGCTGGGCTTCTGTTCTGGAAACACGGGGGCAGGCTTCAGGGGGGTCCCTGGTACCCCTCAGGGGTTGTTTGAATTCCTGGCTCCACCATTCGGCAGGGGTGACTTCCAGCAAAGCTCTTGGTCTCTTTTGGACTCAGTTTGCTCACCTACAAAATGGGGATCATAATGATTGATCTTTATGGAGTGCTTGGGTCATTGCCTGGCACAGAGTCAGTGCTCAATGATCGTTACCCATCAACATGACGATGCCAGTGGGCACCCCAGGCCTTAGCCAGCCTGAGAGCAGTGCTGAGCCATGGGCCAGGGCCCATGGGGCAGGTCACCTGCCCACCAGGTACTGTCCTCCCATCCCGCCCACTGCCTCTTCTTCCACAAGCCCCGCCCTTTTTCTGACGGTCACAGGGCACATCTGAGGGAGGTGGACTTCTGTCCCCTTGGAGCATTCTGCTGTGCCCCTGCTTCTCTCTTTTCTCCTGGCAGGGGTTCCAAAGCCTTTTATTTCTTTTTCTTTTGGTACTGAGAGTTGACCCCGGAGGGCTTTACCCTGAGTACATCCCCAGCCCTTTTTATTTTTTTTATTTTGAGACAGGGTTTCACTGAGTCACCAGGCTGGCCTGGAACTTTGGCATCTGAAATCTCCTGCCTTGCCCTCCCGCGTTGCTGGGATTTACCCATGTGCCAGCCACCCGCCTTCAACACTAGTGCACATCTTCAACCCGATCTCTTGGGGAGGGAGCCAGCCCCACCTCCAAGGTCCCCAAGGGGAATTGTTCCCACAATGAATAATTGTTGTGCAGGGAAAAGAGCAGTGACCTGAAGGGTTTTGCAGGAAAAAGAGGAGTTCTCCTAGTGACCCACAGGGATGGTCTGTGTTGGAGGAAAGAGGACATTAAGAGAGGGCTCGTTCACCCCCAAAACATTCTACATCCCCTCACCTCACCCCAACACACCCCATGGAACCAGGTTCCTGTGGCCTTCTGGGAGATTCCTTCCTTTTGTAGGTGAGAGAGCCCCTCCCTCTCATGCAAAGCGACCAGACATTGATTGTGAGAATTGTGGACGAGAACATTTTTCAATTCTGCACTCAGGGCTGCTGCTCACTTATACATTAAGTGATCGCATTCTGGGTGCTGGGCCTCACTGGGTGCTGAAAGTACAGTGGGAAACAAGACAAAACCCCTGCCCTCAATTTGCTGACATCCTGGTAGGGTGAAGCAGACACCAACAAATACACAAATACTCCCAAAATATAGCATCCAGTAGCTATTAAGAACAATGAGTCAGGCGCATGCCTATAATCCCAGTGACTCAGGAGGCTGAGGCAGGAGAATCACAAGTTTGAGGTCAGCCTCAGCAACTTACCAAGGCACTATCCCAAAATAAAAAAATAAAAAGGAGGGCTTGTGATATAGCTAAGTTGGTAGAGTGATTGCCTGGCATGCACAAGGCCCTGGGTTCAGTCCCCAGCACCATGAAAAAATAAAAATAAATAAACAAAAATAAAAAGTACTGGGACTCTGGGACTGGGGGTGTGGCTCAGTGGTAAATCACCCCTGAGTTCAATCCCCATTACCTCCCCCCCAAAAAAAAGGCAATGAGAACAAGTAGAGCCAGAGATGGCCAAGTGAGAGGGGTAGCAGGGAGAGAACTGCAGGGTGGGGGGAGTGTCACCTTAGCAGAGACAGAGTCATTTCAAGACCTGGGAAAGAGCATCCAAAAGGAAGGAGAGAACAGGACGCACCATCAGGTACCAGCCAGGCCGTGAGGTTGGAGTGAAGGTGTACATTTCAGGGACTGGAGGTCAGCATCACTGGGTCACAAGCAGGGAGAGGCTGTTGTCGGTGACAGGTGCTGAACAAGGGTCAGACAGGTGAGGCAGGGTGGGATGGGACATACAACTGGGATTGTATTTCACATGAGGGGGGTTTATAAAACTGGGGCCTCAGGGGCTGGTGTGGGCTTTAGACAGACCCTGGCCTGTTGGCCCGGACACACCTCCTTGCTGCTTCCCAGTCCCCACTCCTGCCAGGCCAGCCCTAGGGGTTGTGGAGCAGTGGGAAACACAAGGACTTGGAGCCAAACGGATGGAGGCTGACTCCTGGCGGGTGACCCAAGCCAGCGCCTGGCCTCTCTAGGCCTGTCTCCTCACAGGGCGTGGCAAGGGGAATGAGACGGAGGTCGAGCGCAGCCCACACAGGGCTCTTCATCCCGCCAGAGATAAGCCGCCCTTACAGGGGTTCTTGGGTTCTTCTGCGTTTTCCCTCTCCCTTTTCTCTTCCTGGGAGAGACTCTGCCAGCACCCTTTAGTCACCCAGGCCGGTGGATTCCCAGGGTGAGGAAGTAACTAGTGCTCAGCCTGTGGGACCCACCGGGACACCTAAGTCCCCCAGGGTGAGACAGGATTGGGTGGATCTAGGAGGCAGAGGCCTGTGGACTGATGGCCAGGCCTCCAGGGAGGTGGTGGAGGAAAGAAAGGAAAGTGCCGGGGATCTTCAGGCCACGGCCTCATTTTGATTTTTAGTAAGAAGCTCTAGCAGCTCAAGGACTTAGGAGGAGCCCAAGTTTGAGGGCAGCAAGACTCGGCCTCAAAATAAAATAAAAAGCGCTTGGAGTGGAGCTTAGGAGTAGAGCACTTGCCTACCATGTTTGGGGCCCTGGGTTCTATCCCCAGCACTGGAAGAAAAAACAAGAAGCCGCCGCTGCAAGACCCACGAGTGTCCACCGGGAAGAATGGGACCGCTGGGCCACCCCTGCCTGGCTCCTTGAGTGTGGCCTTATGTACACCTCGAGCCGAGAGCACTCGTGCTTATAACTTAAAAACACGCAGCAAAACTACGCGCAGACACTGTTTGGAGGCGGG